TCACTCCAGCTCCTTTCTGTTTGAAGTTCCTAAACTCCTATGCTGAAGGAAGGAATACAGTGATTTGCATTAAGCCAGCTACAGTTTACAAATCATGTTCACAACAATGAATTGAAATACCAGCACTTTGAGGATAAGGATTCAAGCAATGTCTTGAATCCAGGCCCCATTTTCTTCTCAGCATAGCCCCCATCAACAATGTGGGGAAAATAATTAGCTGTTCTTTTACAAAATAATTGGCATTAAATGTATATGATACTCTTTGTGTATAAACTATAACTTTAAAATAAATAACAATTACTACTGTTTCCTTGCCCTGTATTTCTATAGCTTCTCCATCCCCAAAGTTATTTCAAGAAAAACCAAGATGTTTTCTTACTATGTAAAATATAATATAGGTATTTGGCCTAGCAGTTAAGAGACCAATTGGGATGACCAGTCCCATATCAGAGTGCCTGGGTTCAATTTCCAGCATCCAATTTCAGCTTCCCACTATTTTACACCCTAATTCTAGGGCAACAGATAGTTGGATCCCTGCTTCCCATGTGGGAGACTAGGACTGGGTTCATGGATCCTGGCTCCAGTCTGGCCCAGACCCAACTGTTGTAGGAGCAGATGAGATCTCTCTCTCTCTAACATATTCTCTCTCCCTTCCCAAATTAATATGACACATGTACATGTGTAGACACATGAATTGAAGCAAATTTATGTACAATTAACATTTCAGAACAGTTTTAGATTTGCAGAAAAATTACAAAGCTGATACAGAGTTTCCATACGGCCACAGCCAACTTGCTCTTACAAATATTTTAGATTAGCATGGTACATTTGTTACAATTAAGGAAACAATAGCAAATTTTTTAAAGACTGATTTATTTGTTTGAGAGGTAGAGTTACAGATGGAGATGCAGAGACAGAGAGAAATACCTTCTGTCCGCCGGCTCACTCCCCAAATGGCCACAATGGCCGGAGCTGGGCAGATCTGAAGCCAGGAGCCAGGAGTTTCCTCTGGGTCTTCTCACATAGGTGCAGGGGCCCAGACACTCGGGCCATCCTCTACTACTACATCCTCTACTACTCCACATATGAGATGCAAGCACCACAGGCAGAGGCTTAGCCCGCTGTGCCACAGCACCAGCCCAGATAAATTATTTTTAACTAAGATCCATATTTTATTTAGATTACCTTAATTTTTGCCTACTATACTTTTTCTATCCCAGGATCCCACTGAGGACACCAAACTACACTTGTCATGTTTCTTTATGCTCCTCTCAACTGTGACAGTTTCTCGGACTTTGTAATTTTTGCATCCTGAACAGGTATTTTATAAGATGTCCCACAACTGGAATTTTTCCAGATTTTTCTTATGATTAGACTAGAGTGATAGGTTTTTGGATGGAACACCATAAAAGTAAAATGCCATTGTTCTTGCATCCTTGCTATTAGCTTGACATCATTGTTGATGCTGACATTGATCACCTAAGGTGATGACTGTCAAGTTTTTCTACTACAAAATGTCTCTTTTCTCCCCATTTGTATAATGTACTCTTAAAAGGTAGTCATTGTGCATACTCCACACTTGGGGAGTGGGAAGTTATTTTCTACCTCCTTGAGGACAGAGAATCTACATAAAATACTTTGATATCTTCTGTATTGGTGATTAGCCTCTTTTTCCACATTTATTTCATTATTCAATCATTCATTTACATCAGTATAGACTCATGGATACTTACTTGAAACTTTGGGTTATAATGCAATACTACTTTATTTTGTTGTTTATATTGTTCTAGCTTTAGTCACTGGGAGTTCCTTCAAGTGATACCATGTCCCCTTAACATACAAGCACTTCCTCCTTTTCTGACCCTACAAGTTAATCTGGCTTCATCCTATACATTTCCTGCCTGGTACCAGGATCATCATTTATTGAAACAGGACAGTTTCCTTGACTGGAGAATAGTATCAAAAACCAAGATTAAGGGGCCGGTGCTGTGGTGTAGTGGGTAAAGCTGCTGCCTGCAGTACCAGCATCCCATATGGGCGCCAGTTCAAGTCCCAGCTGTTCTACTTCCAATCCACGTCTCTGCTGTGGCCTGGGAATGCAGTGGAAGACATCCCAAGTCTTTGGGCCACTGCACCCACGTGGGAGACCTGGAAGAGGCTCCTGGCTCCTGGCTTCAGATCGGCGCAGCTCCAGCAGTTGTAGCCATCTGGGGAGTGAACCAGCAGATGAAAGACCTCTCTCTCTCTCTCCCTCTGCCTCTCCTTCTCTCTCTGTGTAACTCTGTCAAGCAAATAAATAAATCTTTTAAAAAAAGAAACCAAGATTAAAGCACTAGGTATGCTCAAATAAATTTGCATTTACCTAAATCCAACTATATTGTTAAAGAGCTGTAAATAGCAGTCTATTTCTCACACATAAGAGGTAAAAAGCAGGTAAACTAATTTCCCCATTTTGTTTATAGACATGAGTCATTCTGGACTTTTTTTTATAAGGATGCTTCAATTCTAACTTCTACTAATTGAATACCTCTGATAAGGAAAATAAGATTTAATAATGATAATAGTTGTAGTTGAGGAAGGTGTTAAACTAAGTACTATACAAACATAATCTTGTTATATCCTAACAATTTCAGATACATTAGTATTATTAGTACCCTATTTTATAGATGGTGAAAGTAATATCTACCTTGATTATCATACTGAGAACTAAATGCAAAAAACACCTGGACACCTCCTAGCACAAAGCATGTAGAAGGTGCTCAATAAATCATCACATTCCCACTCTCTTGCCTCTAGAAAAAAAAAGAAAATATGCAAACTTCAGCAACATATCAGCTGTAAAAATTCAGTTCATGGTCTGTGAGATGAAAAATATGGAGGTTGTATTAGCTCATTTGTTTTCTTTGTTGCTATATAAATGTGATCTGATTCATAAGAGCCAAAAATCAGCCTGCTTCATGAAAGATCTCAAATGAAATGAAGACATATTTATCTGACTGCCAATGCTATTTACTAAGTTATCCCTTATAACACCCAAATTCTCAGACACTAACAAAATCCATACAACCCTCAAATATTTTTAGAGATATTTAAGTAGTCTAAAGCATTTTCCCAAAATATTGTTTGGATCAAGATGGAGAAAACATTAAATAAATGCACCACACCTCATAAGGTACTGAAATGGGACAAAGTTACCAGAATACCTATAAAGCATGCACAAAAATTCTGGAAGCTTTACCTCTCCGAGGAAGTAATTTTACTATTATTATAAATCTTGGGCAAAGAAGTTGCACTATATGCAAATATGAAAACTTTCTTAGAATAGATAAAATAAGCTGAAAAGTAAAAGGCTTGTTTTCATTCTGATTTGTTTCTTCCAACCATTCCTCCCTCCTAATGTTTTGAGAGGATGGAAATTGAGAGTTGGAGGAAAAACCAAGGACATGAGTCTTATAAGCAACAAAGGTAGCATCAGAATTTCAATCTACTCTGAAACACCATCTAGTATCTCTACTGTCTTTAGCAGGAAGCTTAAAAATTCACTGCAGACATAATTCCAGACCTTAGCTAATGACATTCTCTGCTTGAGGAGCCCTCACCTTTCTTGCTGACACCCTGGATTATCAAATTCAAACCCACTATAAGCTCCAAGTACCCAAAAGTCACTCCCCATGAACAGTCTACTATCATTTTTGAAATACCCCAGATTTTATTCCTTGAACCAATCTGTAGTACCACCCATACAGTCGTAAGTCCAGTCTTCTCATCTAAACTGTAAATTCCGTCAGGCCTGTTGCCATCTTTCCTGGAAAGCCTAATCCAGGTCATCTCAACAAATATTTCTGATCTCTTTTCATTGATTGCCTATAGACAAGAGTAACTATGTCCTTGGTCTTCAGGGAAAAAAATCAGAACAAGGATGCTCCCCACCCTAACTCTGGCCTGGAAAGGGGCTCAATGGGTACTCGCCCTCAGCAAAAGTTTTCTCCAGGCCAGCATTTTGGAAACCCCAGAGCTCTGAGAATATTTCTTTGATCAGATCCCTCTGCAAGAGGATAATGCAACTTAAAACATTTTTTTTTTCAACAAAAAGAGCACAAAAAGTGAATTTAAAAGCAAATGGGCCAAGGATTTTCCCTAGGAAGTCTTTCAATTTCACACACAGAAAATTCCTGTAGTATGGTCCTATTAGAAATGCTTTTTTTAGTCCATTTTTGCATATTTATTATGTTCTTCTATGGCTCTGTTATCACTTAATTTGACACTGAACCTCCAAAGCCACATCTTCTTTCTTGCTGAACTATTAAAAAGGGGCAAAATATTTTAATCATGAAATCCTGTATAATTTAGAGATTATCTTCCTTCTGTGTGAGTTACAGCAATAATCAAAGGAAGCCTGGGGATTCGTAAAACTAAGGCCCTAATTTTTTGACAGGCGTTCTGCTTAGTGTGGAATTAACCTCTTTTCACATCTTATACATGCATAAGAGCAAACTGTTACATATGTTCTCAGTACCCACAGAAAACAAAGAGCCATGATCCAGTAGATAGGAACTGCTTTGCCACAGTCTGAAGCCAGGCTCAATTATTCATTATGAGAAGAAAACAAATGATGGGAGGGAGAGGTTCTATCAAATGCACAGTCTGAACCTGATTGATCAGCTCACCTGTTGGGCTTGGGAGTACCAGGAGTCTTGAGCCCACTGTTAGTTATATTCTCCATTGCAGCCAAATGGAAGATTGGGAATGGCTACAGGCTCTTTTTTTAATATTTATGTATTTATTTGAAAGGCAGAATTACAGAGGCAGAGGCAGAGGAAGAGAGGTCTTCCACCTGGTGGTTCACTCCCCAGATGGCCAAAACAGCCAGAGCTGTGCCGATACGAGGCCAGGCACCAGGAGCTTCTTCCTGGTTCCCACGCAAGTTTCCTACGCAGGTATAGGGGCCCAAGCACTTGGGCCATTTTCTACTGCTTTCCCAGGTCATCAGCAGAGAGCAGGATCACAAGTGGAGCAACTGGAACTCAAGCCTGGCACCCATTTGCAATGCCAGCACCGCAGGCAAGAGCTTTACCCACTATGCATGGTGCCAGCCCCTACAGGGTCTTATATTGCTTTTCAATGTCCCTCAACTTTGATCAGTGCAGTGGTTAAAGCATAGTAACTAAAATTAGACAGAACCAGATTTGAATCCTACAGACACAGCCTACTACCTATCTGTCTTATGGAAAGCAATTTAACCTCCCAAAGTTTCATTTCATTTATATATGAGAGACATTAATCACAACTACCTATAGGGTATTTTTTAAAGATTTATTTTATTTATTTGAAAGACAGAGTTACAGAGAGAGGTAGAGACAGAGAGAGGTCTTCCATCCACTGGTTCACTCCCCAGATGGGTGCAATGGCCGGAGCTGTGCTGATCAGAAGCCAGAAGCCAGGAGCCAGGAGCTTCTTCTGGGTCTTCCACGTGGATACAGGAGCCCAAGGACTTGGGCTGTCTTCTACTGCTTTCCCAGGCCATAGCAGAGAGCTGGATCAGAACAGGAGCACTGGGACTAGCACCAGTGCCCCTATGGGATGCTGGTGCTTCAGGCCAGGGCTTTAACCCGCTGTGCCACAGCACTGGCCCCACCTATAAGGTATTGTAAATGAGGTTATGCATTGACAGAGTACCTGGTTAAATAGCAATTGCTCAATTAAAGCTCTCTCTTCCCTGGGAACCTAATTAGTATCTTATTATTCACTCATTTTTACACTCATGCAGACACAAAGGACCACATGAATACTATATCATGATAAATAAAACAAGCCTTGACTCTATCTTATGAAACTCATAACTGACAAAGTATACATGGATAAAATAAGTAAGTAAACTTTATAATTACCATAAGCAAAATGGGAGTGGTTGGTTGAAGATGAGATTTGGGTAGGAAACTTAATCACCAGTTGGCTGAGCAACAGCAACAGACAGAAGTGGAGGTAGTGGTTTTATATGTTGGGCTATTATTCCCAATTCTTCACTCCCAACTATTGACAATTGTACATTAATGTCACGTGACTTTTATAGTACCTCCACGTAATATAAGAACTATAAAGAGGGCTGAGTATACTTCTCTGCCTCTTTGATGTTGAACTTTGCTATATGACTTGCTTCATCCAGTGGACTATTAGCAGATGTGATACAAGCAGAGGTTTCAAATGGCCTTGCATTGTTCGGCTTGATCTCCTGTGATCTACCGTTAGGAGAGCATGTACCAAGAATCCACATGAGTCAACTTGAGCTCAAATGGAGTACACCTTGGCCCCGTCATATTCATCTCTAGATCAGCTAATTGTCACTTGGCATTAGCTGAGATGTATGCTACTCAACAAAAACTGATGAATACTAGGTTCTCGTAAATGTAGGGGGGACAGAGCTATGGGCAGGCTGGGTGGTTTCATAAGCACATGGCAATCACACTATTGTCTTGCAAAAGGATTAGCAGCAACCTTCCTGGTGCTTCATCTCTCTGTTTTCAGCAGGTTCATTCATGTAAGAATCCTGCACTTCACCCCAAAATTCCACAGCCAGAGGGATCTACTGATGTCAGCCAGAAGATATGTTGGGATCATGTTTCTCTTTTCCTTAAATGTCCAAACTGTTGATTCCAAGTGTTGTACAGTGCCGAGATCCTACCCCTCTCTTGTGGCCCCAATATGTCAAGTAATGTATTTGTGTAAATGCCTGTAATGCCACCCTTCTCCCCTAGGGCTTCTCTTCATAATCAGACTGGCTGGCCCTTTGACCATTCAATGTTTCATTCTCTCCACATCATGGATCTATCTGGCTACATATGCTCTATATTTCACTATTCTATTTCAGATATGATTTCACAAACTTCAATAAGACACCAGAAATCCTCTAACAGATGCTTGAAATGATGTCCAGAGGTGGACATGCCACATGCTTCCTCTGAAACACCTGTTAAAGGAATTGAGAATATGCATAAATCATCAGCCCCTCCATTTTCCTACTGAATGCAAAATACATACAGCAGAAGAAATGACTCTAATGGTTTCAGAAAGAGCCCAGGCTAATGTGCTGCCTGCTAAAAGATACTATGCACAAAATACTGTGCTTAAATGAGGAAGCATATAAAGAATAAGAACAAATTTCCTGCCCTCAAAGAGTTCATGGATTACAAAAACAAAATGTTTTGAAGTAAATGCTACTGCTAAGAACAAGAATAACTGACAATGAAAACTAGGCCATGAAGTGCCTAAGCATTTAACAAAGAGTATGTCCTGGATTCCTTGCACCTGTGCCCATATTACATTCAGAACTGAGGCTTGCCAAGAACTCACCTAAGGCCAAAAAGGCTCATAAAGGGTTAATGTAGGACTAATCCTGGATTCCTGACTCTGACCTTGAATAATATGGGATTAGCCACTATCTTTAGTTATTCTCCAGAGTCATAACACGATAAAACTTAGTCTCAATGAAGGTAATTACCAGTGAAATAATACCAATGGCAGAAAGTGGCTCTCTGGGGAATGACAGAATCAAATCACAAAGAAGATGAACAATGAACAGACTATTAAAGAAAGCATTAGATTTTACAAATTTAAGTAAAAGGTATTTGTTCTAAAGCAATAGCATTTGCAAAATCATAGATGTGTGTTAAGAACACAGACCATTCTAGGAAGCTAAAGAGAAAAGTACAAAGCAGGTGGTAACACAGAGAGGAACAACACGGAAAAAGGAGAAAGAGGTACATCAGTACCTGACTAAAAAAGACCCTGAAGCCATCTTGCAAATTAAGTAAGTTCTTAGTGCCCTTATAGGAATCATTTTTTTTTCTTTTATGTTGTCCCCTGGTCTATCCTAGTTTGCATTTTTTGAAAATGAATCTCATTTCGTTGTTTATTACCCATATATTGAAACTGTCTATATCTCTTGGAATAAATTCTATCCATCATTCTTATTGGATTTATTCCAGCACCACCCCAGTTTGTATAATTTGCAAATTTCATTAACATTCTCTTTACTTTCTCTTCAAACCCATTAATAATATTGTTGCATATGATCAGGCTTAACACCAATCTCTTTGGCACCCTTACTAATCAACTACCCCTTGCTGAATGTCACACTATTCATCACCATGCCTTGTTTACAGACCCCCTGAAAATTATCAATCCCTATGACAGTGTTCATATCCAAGCCAGTGTCAATTAATTTTATAAGTAAAATTTTGTGACGTGGTATCAAATGCATTACTAAAATCAAGATGTATTGCAGTGACTTTGTTCCCCTCCACTGTGAATTTTAAACAGCTTTCAGATCCGTCCTGGATGATTTATTTGTGGCAACACCAAGCTGCTTATTCACTCGTGATTCCATTACTTCTTAGATGTTCTGGGCTATTTTTCTCCATACACTTAAACTTCCTAGAGGTAATCTCAGGGATCATTCCTCTTTTGAAAAGATAGGTGAACACATTTGTTACTAGCCTTAACTTCTGTGATCTCTGCAAATATATCAAGTCATTTAAAAAGCAATTCCTTTTTTTTTTTCCTCATCTGGCAGCTTTTATAAAGGAGCTAGGTTCCTCTACAAGCTTTCAACTAGCAGCCCAGTAAGCTTCTATTAGATGTCACCTACTGGTGCAATGAGCACGTGTTGCTGTTTATGGACAAAACATCATGGTTTGGGGGGCTTTTTCCATCTGCACCTCTGTCCTGGAATTTTCTCATTCATTTAGCCCTGGCTGCAGAGAATCTACACCATGAAATATCCCAGGTCAGTATAGCTCACTGCCAGATTCTATACCCTTAAGGGACATAATGGATTCAAAAGTAAATGATCAAGGCCATAAATCTACTGCTTGAAAGTTATATTGTATCTAAAAGTTGTATTATGTTTTGTTGCACTTATTTTTCATTTATCCCCAATAATGACACCCCAACACTGCTGTCATTAACAAGGGTATTTGACAGATAAGATCTAAGTATAAACAGCAACATTTTCTGCCCAAATGTCCCTTTTGTCTCAAAATAAGAATAATGAAAAAAATGAAAGTGGAAAAGGCTTATGAAAGAAGAGGGAGAGGCCAGGACCGCGGCTCACTAGGCTAATCCTCCGCCTGCGGTGCTGGCACCCCGGGTTCTAGCCCCGGTTGGGGCAACGGGTACCGGGTGCTAGTCCTAGTTGCTCCTCTTCCAGTCCAGCTCTCTGCTGTGGCCCCAGAGGGCAGCGGAGGATGGCCCAAGTGCTTGGGTCCCTGCACCTGCATGGGAGACCAGGAGGAAGCACCCGGCTCCTGGCTTTGGATTGGCGCAGCACCAGCTGTAGCGGCCATTAGGGGAGTGAATCAACGGAATTTCTCTCTGTCTCTCTCTCTCTCACTGTCTATAACTCTGTCTAACTGCCTGTCCAAAAAAAAAAAAAAAAAAAGGAGAGAAAGGAGGGGCCATTGACTGGACACTCCTGTGAAAAGCAGCAGTTTACCATGAATGACAACAAAATACTGGGCTTTGTTCTTTGTTAGCATTTCAATAATCCCAAACAAACCTTCTTAAACTATCCAGATTACTTCTCTCAGGTACTTTTAAAAGCATTTTGCTGATGACTTATCCTGGTATACACACCTGGTGGGTTCAGGGTGCCACACACATTTGGTAACAGCTACCCTAAGTGCTTTCCTGAATAAAGTTTATATATTAGTCAGGGCTCCTCAGAGAGAGAAAAGAAATACATTTTTTTCAAAAGTTCATGGAAAGTGGAATTGAAAGGTATTTATTTTGTACCAATTTTTTGGAGATCTATGCACAGTTTTTCAATAATATGCTTTTCCATGAATTTCCATGCATGGATTTCATAGATATTTTTATACCCAAACACAATTACCTTTTATTGAACAATTTTTTTTTTTTTTTGACAGGCAGAGTTAGACAGTGAGAGAGACAGACAGAAAGAAAAGTCTTCCTTCCGTTGGTTCGCCCCCCAAATGGCCACTACAGCCAGCACTGCGCCGATCCGAAGCCAGGAGCCAGGTGCTTCCTCCTGGTCTCCCATGCAGGTTCAGGGCCCAAGGACCTGGGCCATCCTCCACTGTACTCCCAGGCCACAGCAGAGAGCTGGACTGGAAGAGGAGCAACGGAGACAGAATCCGGCGCCCAGACCAGGACTAGAACCCGGTGTGCCGGTGCCACAGGCAGAGGATTAGCCTAGTGAGCCAGTGTCGACCACAATTACCTTTTAATTCCCAATTTTCATGAACTTTTTGAAGATTCTTTGTGTCAGGAGAGGGGATTTATTATGCAAAACTGGCTCATAGAATTATAGAATCTGAAAAGTCTGACAATTTGTAACCTGGAGGTCTAGAAGAGCCAATTATGTAGTTCCAGATTGAGTCCGAAGGCCTGAGAATGAGGGGAACTGGGAGTGTAAAAACTAGTTCAGCGGCTGGAGGAGACCCAATGTTGCAGCCCAGCCAGGCAGACAGGATGAGGACAAAACTTGTGTTTTGTTCTATCCAGGACCCCATAGATCAGATGATGACCACCCACATCAGAGAAGGGCATCTACATTACTGAGATCACCAATTCAAATGCTAATCTCATCCTGAATTCCCCCTAACAGGCACATTCAGAAATAATAGTTAATCTTCACAACCCATCAAGTTGACACATAAAACTAACCATCACACTGGCTTTCCTCTAATACAGGAGTTTGGGCTGCAGGGCTTCATTCATCTACGGGAGACTCTGAGATAAATCAAAGTTGTTCTTTTAAAAATTACATATTCCTGTTTAGCAGTATATGCATGTGTATCCTCTGTTTCTGGCTACCCATGATACACTGCAATTATGTTAAGAGTGGCTGAACTTCTGCCAGGGCAGATCCACACAAAGTCTCAACAGAGCATCCCTCATTCTGACACCTAAGGTGCAAGGCTTTCACTTGAAATCAAATCTTCCAGCCCAGCTCTTGCCAGGCCACAAGTCTCCAGTCTCAATGTGGTTGTCCCATGGTGACACTCTCTGGGACCCTCCCACCCACATTGCACCCCACACATTAACTGCCTTAAAGTTAAACCCCATCATAAGATTAAAGCACTCCACCCTCCCATTCCTCCATTCATTTATTTATCAGCTCTAAACCAAACATCTTTATCCAAAAGTCACTGAACTAGATATTTTGATGCCGCCAAGGTGAAGAGGGTTTGGTGTCTACCATCCATGGAATAACAGAGAGAGTGGAAACATGCATAAAACAATATACATATTAAAACACACATACACACACACACACACACACACACAGAACGTCCAGTGTGGCATGAGTATTGCAGACAAGAGATCATGGAAATTCAGAAGATTAATCTTGGCTGGGGAAATCCAGAAAGTCTCCAGGACAGAGGCAGAATTTAAAGTAATAATCAGCAAGTTATGACGAGGAGAAAGGCTTTGCCGACAGAGGTATATTGGTCTACGTTAACTCTGGATCCCCACGGAGAGCAGTAAGGAGGATCCCACGGCTTGAACCTGAATGAGTGTTAAGTGAGTGACATTACAGCGAAACAAGTTAGGCCAGGCTGAGATGTGAGTCTAATTCAACAGACCTAAATGCCTTCAAGGAGGTGTAATTTAATCACACACCCTCTGTCTTTACAATTAACCTGTTGAACAATGTTTCCAAAGCCTGTGTAAAACTAGGCTCTTTATGCCCTCTAGAAATTCACTCATGAATGTGTAATTTTATGGTATCGTACTGTGCGAGAAATGCCACAGGGAGTATACAGGACCACAAAGACAGGACCTATAAATTCTGCCTTCAAACTTATTCAGCACTGACCACTGAGAGCTAAATCAGCACACATAAATTTAAGCCAGTTGAACCCATATCTCTTATTGACATTCTCTTTTCCCGTGCCTTCTGGCAGAACACTCTCCTCTGTGTCTCCTCTGGTGTCCTTAAAAACTCATCTCTTCTTACTAAATTCTTGTCCTTCTGCCCACCTGAACACTTTAGTTTACTCTAGAACCCAACTGTTGTGCCTTCTCTTTTTATGCGCCATGGCCCCTTTGAAGAAGTGCTTCTATTTCCATGTCTCTAACCACCACTTATGTGGCAACAGTTACTATCCAGCTGCAACCATCCCTCTGAACCGTGACCAGCATTTCCCAGTGCTCCCTGACTACATTCTCCGTAAACATTTTCAAAGCAGTATGTTCAAAGTGAAGGTCGTTTGCTCCCCTTTCCAAAATCTACCTCTGGCAAACCTGTTCTCTGAATGATTTTCTTTCTTAATTAACTGTATCACTACACACTGGAGTTCTCACCAGTAAAATGAGAAAACTTCTGAATTCTGCTTCTCCTTTAACCCCAAATGCTACTGAAGATACTTTCCAAGCATCTTAGAATTCATACTCTCTCTACATCCCAGGGCAAGTGTGTTGACTTCTGTTTCCTGAGTTATTCCAACAGCTCTACAGCTGGTCAACTTGTCTACGGATTACTTTCCTTTCATGGCAACACTTGATGAAACTAGATTCCAAGATTCTTTTAATCAGTTTTAAGGAGACAATAAAACATAACTGTCCACCAGCACCAAGGCTCAATAGGCTAATCCTCCGCCTGCGGCGCTGGCACACCGGGTTCTAGTCCCGGTCGGGGCGCTGGATTCTGTCCCGGTTGCCCCTCTTCCAGGCCAGCTCTCTGCTGTGGCCCGGGGAAGGCAGTGGAGGATGGCCCAAGTGCTTGGGCCCTGCACCTGCATGGGAGACCAGGAGAAGCACCTGGCTCCTGGCTTCGTTCGGATCAGCGTGATGCACCAGCCGCGGCAGCCACTGGAGGGTGAACCAACGGCAAAAGGAAGACCTTTCTCTCTGTCTCTCTCTCTCACTGTCCACTCTGCCTGTCAAAAAATAAAAATAAAAAGATTTTTAAAAAAACATAACTGTCATTAATCAAAAATAGAATGCATAAATAAATCAGACATGGTCCCTACCTTTAAGCATCTTTGTTCTGTAGTCTAGTGTGAATCAAACTACAAACAAGGAAGTCACTGGGATACATTATGACAAGGAGTATGAAAAAAACATACATAGGTTCTGAAACATCTAGGATAGGCCTCAGATTCAAACTAGAGTCATGGGAAGATTTCCAGAACAAAAAATGGCAGGCAATTCACACTAAAAAGAATGTGTATGCACCAGCTAGGCAAGGAAGATATTAAAACGCCATTCCAGACAGTAGTCATATAGACAAGTCCAGTGGTGTGACAATGAAATAATGTCCTACAACTTTGACATGGAACAAGAAACAAAGACTGGAACTACAGAGGAGACACAGGCCAAGTGGGCAAGTGTCTTGTTTAGTAAGCAAAGTTTTGCCTCCTTGTCACCACCACACTAGCTCTGAATCAGGAGAAAATGTCTTTTATGTTAAATCATACCAACCAGCTTACAATGTAATAAATGTGAGATACAAATTCACTTTAAGTACCTGGTTCAGGTACTTAACATCAAAACTGGTCATGGAACAGTGAAAAGTTTTAGGTTTCCCAGAAAAAAACACAAACTTGTTTTGGAGATTTTTACACATCCCCAAATACCTAAGACTCCTACAGAGAAATAAACCCCCACCGAAGGTAAGCTCACAATCAAAAGTTTAAAAATCACAAGAAGACATATGTCATCCCAATTAAAACTACTGGTTGCAGTAAATAGAACTGGCATTCCAAGAACTTCAATACCTAAATTTGGTAGGCTTAAAATCAATAATATGCAGGGCCTTCACTTGTGGTGTAGCGGGTAAAGCAGCCGCCTGCAGTGCCAGCACCCCATATGGGTGCCAGTTTGAGACCCGGCTACTCCACTTCTGATCCAGCTCTCTGCTATGGCCTGGGAAAGCAGTAGAAGATGGCCCAAGTCCTTGGGTCCCTGCACACACACGGGAAGCCCCAGAGGCAGCTCCTGGCCCTTGACTTCGGATCGGCGCAGCTCCAGCCATTGTGTCCAACTGGGGAGTGAACCAGCAGATGGAAGACATCTCTCTCTGCCTCTCCTTCTTTTTCTGTGTAACTCTGACTTCAAATAAATAAATAAATCTTTTAAAGAAATCAATAAGATGCAAAAAAGGACAAATAAAGACACAAAGAATAGGACGCTAAATTGTTTAATTAATTAATTTGAAAGGCAGAGTGAGAGAGAGATGAGGGAGAGACAGAGGGAAATACTTTCATCTGCTGGTTCACTTCCCAAATGGCTGCAATAGCCAAGAACTCCTTCAGGTCTACCCCGTGGCTAACAGGGACGCAAGTACTTAGGCCATCTGCCGCTGCCTTCCCAGGTGCACTGGCAGGAAGTGGAGTCAGAAGCTACTGGCCGAGAAGGGAAGCAGCCAGGACTGGAACCAGGCACTCCTATATGGGATCCCCATGAGCCAAGTGGAGGTTTAAACCCCAGAGCCACAATTGCCCCTTGATTTTTTTAAAACAGATTTTCAATAGACCTCAGTAAGCCGGCACAAGTGAAAAACGCCAGCATTGACTAGAAGACGCGACAAAAGACAAAAATTAAGAGACAGAAGGCATTGCTATGGACACCATCCTAACCAGGCATATAAAGAGATGGACAACACGAACAAGAGGTTCAAATATGCAGTGAACTAAATGAAACCACCTAATGTACGTCTAATAATATTTACAGAAGAAAACAGTGAAAGATAACATTCAGTACCCCGGGACTGAAGACAAATGCATCAGACTGAAACATCAAGGTGAGTTGTAGCCCTGATCAACACAAATCCTTGGAGGAAACCATTACACTCACGCATACGACCATCTAACTTTAAAAGGGAATCCATCTAGGCGAGTCCACAAAGCAGGACCCGGACACGGCGCCCACCCACAGTGCCTCGCGCGCAGCTCCCTGCGGCCCCCGCGCCATCGGCGACAGCGAGCGCCCTGGCCCGCCTGAGCTCCGCCATCATGCCGCGCTCCTTTCTCGTCAGGAGGCCTCCGGGCTGCCGCCCAAAGCCCGACTACAGCCAGCTGCCAGACTCTCATTCTGCAGCGGTCGCCTCCCTGGGGCCCTGCGACCCGGCCCACCTGCGGGCGGCCTTGCCAGCCCCCGCGCTCCTCAACCCCTCGGCCTCCCTGCCCACACTCATCTGGGACTCCCTCATGGCCTCCCAGGCCACGCTGCTGGGCCCTGCCTCCCCTCAGCCCCCGGAGCGCCCCGCGGCTGGGCTGACCACCCTGTCGGAGGAGCGCAGCCTGCCGTCACGGGCTCCTTCCTCTTCCCCCTCCACCGCAGCCTCTCTGGAAACTGAGGCCTGTGCCGCCACCCCGGCCTCGGGCCTTCTGCCCGTGCAGCCAGGCCGGCAGTGGGCGGCCAAGGACCCCCAGCCCCGCAAGGCCTTGGGCTGCAAGGACTACAACAGGGAGTACGGCAGCCTGGGCGCCCTCCAGGGGCACTCCCGGAGCCACGCCCTGCCGACCGTCTGTGGCACCTGTGGCAAGGCCTTCTCCAGGCCCTGGCTGCTGCAGGGCCACGTCCGCACGCACACCGGCGAGAAGCCCTTCTCCTGCTCGCACTGCAGCCGCGCCTTCGCCGACCGCTCCAATCTGCGGGCGCACCTGCAGACCCACCTGGCCGTCAAGAAGTACCCATGCGAGAGGTGCTCCCGCACTTTCTCCCGCATGTCCCTGCTCCACAAACACCAGCACTCGTCCAGTTGTTCCGGGGACGGACGCTGACCCTGAAGTCCCTCCCAACTCCGGAAGGAAGGACCCCCGCATTCTCCCTACTGCCACGGACTCGCGCTCCCCCCACAGACCCACTTCCTGCTGCCGCAGCCCCACAGGACTTCCACAAAGACCATTTTCTGGCCCTCGCTTCGTGGACGCTGGAAGAGGCCTTCCCGTGGCCATTTCTGTGACTGGCTGATGAGAGCAGCGTGCAATGGAGACGCCTTCCGGCCACCGCTGCTCTAGAGCACTTCTGACTTGGTCTTTGTGGGGTTGTATGTCCCGAGCTGCTTGGATAGGGGCGCTTTGAGCTGCAGGACAAAAGCTGACAGATTGGGAAACCCCTTCCGCTGAGGGGATGCCACTCTGCTAACCCCATTCCACCTGCCCAAGATACCCTCAGACCACCCTCCTCAGAGGTAGGACTGACTGCAGTAATCTGCCCCCATCCTCATCCACAGAGCCCAAGGACATAACTGCCCCAAGATGCCCCTGGGCCTGCGCAGCTGTTTCAGCTGCTTGTTTGTCATGGCAGCACCTGTTTCGTGGGCAATTTAACAGTGTCTCAAAAAGGACCGTGAATAATGGCCCTCACTTCTCCCTGGGCAAGTGGGGCACTTTGGCCTGACTCATGTGTCTGCCTGAACTATTTTAGGGGCCTGACAGGTGGGCCTGGATGGAAAATGTTTACATTTCTATGGGTACACTGGTATTTAATTACAAGTAATATTTGCACTAAGGAAATATTTTGTATAGTTACACATACAGTTTATTGATATGTCATAAATCAGTTAAGAGGTCTCAACAAATTCCATACAAACCAAGTTTTTGGTATATTCTTTGACAATAATATTTTAAAATAAATTACAGAGAGATAGTAAATCAACTTGAGCTTTCTACCAAAAGGTTTGGGGGACAAGGGACATTGGAGGTTTGAAGTGAGAAAATAATATGGCCATGTTATATGTGTTATACAGCTCAGTCTAGAAGTAACATGGAGGATCATCCTGAGCAAGAAATCTGACTAGAATTAGAAAGGAATCTAGATGAGAGTAATTAATTAGGGCCAAGATAAGCGCAGGAGGAATGGAGAGAGAGGGATTTTGAGAAGCATTAAAGATCTAGAAATTGATGGTTTACTGATTAGATATGGATGAATTAGTGGCAGGGATCTAAAATTCAGAGTTCTGATTTGGGTGAATGAATGTGGCAGTATTTCATGGAGGTAGCAACCAGAGGAACCAGTGACAATGACAGCCTCACCTGAGCTCAGGATTCTCATATAGCATAGAAGTGGTAGCTAAAGCTACTGGAACAAATGAAGTCAACAAAGAAAGCATACAGAGTGAGAGAGACAAGGACCCTAGGAGCACTCTGAGAAACACCAACATGTAAGATGTCATCACCCTTGAAAAAGATTAAGTAGGAATAGCCACATATTGATCAGTCAGACCAAAGTTTCTTAAAAGGAAGAACAAGTGTAAGAAAGAAGGCAGAGGCAAATACAACCTATTCTCAAAATAAATCAGACAAACCAAGGAGAAAAGCTATCCACTGGATTTTCAGTTGTGTGGCTGAACTTGGGAGGAAGAGTTTCAGCAAAATGTCAGGGATGGACATGGGGACAGTGTGGATGAAGAGTGAGTGTGAGGTGATTAATGTAAATGGCAATTGAGGCTATTCTTTCATGAGAATTGGCTGAGCAGTGAAGTAGAGAAAAAACTTGGTGGTAGCCTGAGGGTTACCTGGCTCCAAAGAACACCAAGGTTTTCACATAGGTGGAACTGAATATAATTATCAGGAGTGAGGGAGGAAGGATCATTTCACTGAGATTTATATACTAGTAGAGTTTTATCTCTGCAGATAAATTAGTGTCTTTTAAGATAATAGAAAACATTTCATTCTGAAATGAAACCTCTGAACAAGAGGTTTTTAATAGTTAACTGAATGAAACTAATATACGTATAATGTCAGTTATAGAAGGAGAAAATGAAGACAAGAGAAAGGCAACAGTGAATTTTGTAAGTGTATTGTGGAAAAAAACATGCTTTAAAAGACATGTAAGAGTCATTTCATTCCAATGTAGTCAAGTATTTTCCATGTGTGTGGCTGAAAGCACCTTCTAACATTTGTTGTGTCCTTCACTGTGGCTCCACCAAAGCCTCCTTAAAGCATTTATGAATTGGGCTGCAGAGTTCAAGCCAGGTAAAGGATAGCATCACTCCTCTGACTCTCAAAACTCCCATGGAGAAATAATTTCTCAACATATTAACAAAATAATTTATTGACAGCCCACCTAATGTAGAGGCAACTGAGTTTTAGAGAAATAACACAAAATGTCCTGATCAACACTCTCAGATACAGAATTTCTCTCTATGTAAATGTATGGACCTCCCTCATTTACCTAAGTCCTTTCCATCAAATATTAAATAAATTCAGTAAACAATCACTAGTTAAGGGTCAGGGAATAGTTTTTGTTCCATTCTGTTTGTCTTTGCTTATTTGTTTGTTATAAGGAGAGTAGCAGAACAAAGAATTCATTACATTCAATAGTGACTGACTAATATTTATTCATGAATATAATAGGAGTTTGAGATAGATTTTTTTAATAGAAGAGGTAGAAAAATATAGTATTAACAATGCCATTTAGGGTCTTGATTTATTTCACTGATTTGGGTTTTTTTGCACTTTGCTGGAGAAAAAAAATTATAAATAGTTGAAAGCATTTATCACCTGAGATACACCATTTGGAAAAGAAAAGAGAACATATTTTTAAGCCATAAATTTCCACCATGTTCACCCCTCGCATAAATAAGCATCCCTAGACTTTGCAAGAAATATTAAAGTTCATTTAAATTGCAAATCTGACCTTATTAAAATGGCTTTCTCAAAGAGTCATAAACAAATAGAGTACACTGGTAATACTGCCACACAACAGAACACATTCTCAACCAGTTCAGTAATTAAAGTGGAAAGATAGAATTTTCACAGTTCTGAATGACAGAGATGGACGGAGAAAACATGTTATGACAATAATTTTAGGTGGGGAGAGTGCATCCATCTGGAGGCTCCCCTCAATAAATGTCTCAGCACAATTACTCTTTGAAAGTCAATGTAAGTTCTTATGAACAGCTTGGAAACATTATTATATTGCTGCTAATTCGATGTATTTGACTACTTTCCTAAAGCTACCACATTCCCTCTTAATGTTGGAAGCATAACCATTAAGATTTACTATGTTTGGGGTAAGAATAAAAATGAAACAATTAAGAATGAGCTTATATCTGCAAATGGTTAGAAAGAGCTAATAAATTTCAGGATTAAAAGCCAAACAGAGAGGATGGGCTGTTTACCGAGTTTATGGAAAATCCATATTTGAAGGTAGATTGTCACCAAACAAATAGCTCCCTTTTACTTAGAAAAATAATCCAAAGTGCAGTAGGCCATGTAAATTAGGTGGAATTGAGATGGAACTTGACTTGTTTCTCACTGATTTAAGCAACTGGATTTATGGCTAAGTAAGTGCTACCATGAGATCCAAGGCAGAATGGTAAGTTTTAAAACGCAACAAAGTGAAGGTGCAGGTTGGACCAGAAGCATTTAAAGTTCTCCATTGACTTAAAATGAAATCATCACCAAATACAAACTGCTTTAAACTTTCATTATTTTATATTTAGGTGTGAATTTTGGTTTATTTATTAATTCCTTCAACAAATGTTTATAAAACACTTCTCCATTCTAGATTAGAGGTAGGCACTATGGATATAATACAAACAGAATATGTACGATCCATGCCTTCACAAAGTTGAGTAATAATTTATTATATACTGGTTTTCAGAAGACAAGCTGTTTCACCTAATTTCAGAAATATTTCTAGCAAAAATTTTCTAAATAATTTCTATGATTAACTAAAGTTGTTTCCTTTTGTTATGCCTTTAAGAAGTGATGAGAGAGTACGTCACAGGCATTTTAATTGCTTTATATTCTCTGAAATGTTATTGATTCCAAGTCCCTTTCCCAGGGAGTAGTCCGTCCCTCAGACAAGCTGCCATCCAACCCAAAGACATACATCTCTTGGATTTGCCCACCAGCTCTTAGTAAATAGACCTGTCCCCTGATGCTTGCCATTCACCAACTTCCTGCATCATCTGAGAAGAAAGTGCTAGTATATGAGCCTGGAATTACAGTATCAAATTCAAATTTTACAGCATATATGTCCCTTAACTTCTCTGAGCTTCATTTTCCTTATCTGATGTGAATGGATAACTCCTACCTCAGGTGGATTTTTTTAATGATTACTTTTAAAATTTTATTTGAAAGGGCAAAAAGAAACAGAAATGCCCAAAACAGCTAGGGCAGGCTCATGCCAAAACTGGAACCTGGGAACTGAATTCTGGTCTTCAGTGTGGATGGCTGGGACCCCACTATTGATCCATCACTACTGTATCCAAGGTGAACATTAGCAGGAAGCTGAATCCTAAGCAGATCCAGGTCTCAAACCCAGGTTGGTACTACAATATGGGATGAGGGTATCCATCTTACACTGCTTGGCCAAATACCCACTCTCTGCAGTAGTTTTCAGGAGACTAAATGAGATAATACAGGAGAAAGCTTGCATAAACTCCAGTCTGTAGACATTGTTACTACATGTACCACTTAAAACAGTTAGTTACCATGACTACTATTACCACCTCTAAAAACCAAAAGTATTACAATAGTGGCCATATTGAACTTCGAAAAAGCAATCAAAATGAACCTAGGAAAACTTAACATGAGTTCATTTGCATGAGCAGCCAAATACCTTGAGAGTCAATACAACTGGATACAGTGCAGGTTAACTTGGAATTCCTGGGAGATCTGCAGTCTGATGTACCCCATCAGATCAGGAGGACAGGGTTCTTTGCAGACCATGCAATTGGACGTGCTTATCTTCTGAAAGTAGCCCCAGGTTAGACCAAGGTGACCACTAGGTCACCCTGCAGAACAAATAACCATGTGTGCCTGTCTGACATAGACACATCTAAAGATAAATCAACTCTGAAAATCCACAGGATTTTCCCAATATCTTCCTCCCTTCTTATGGAGTTGAGATTTCATTGTTTCATTTCACTCAGTTTGATAATCAAACATTAATTGCATACCTTCCTGAACCATGATAGAGCATTAAAATTCTATTATATGTGCCACAGGAACCCATTGGAAAGTTAATGTGTAGGCACATGTACCCAGCACAGTATGCACTCAATTATTCTTAGTTCCCATATAATTAAAGATTTGAATACAACAAGGCTACTAAAACAGAAATAGAAACTAGAAAAAGAAGCAAATCACCAGGCAAATAGAGTTACTGAACTTAAGCATTTCATTTTGTTCTATATATAAGCAATTCAGACCAAGGAATGTGTTTTAGTTCTTGTCATTTTTTTTCTCCCTGTAACACCAGGAAAGAAAGAAAGTTTCACATGACTAATGACTAAAATGCCCCCAGATTCCTCATTCAGAAAGGACCATTTTCTATGTTTGAAATGTAATGAGAAAAATATCCATCAATGCTAAGCGCCTGAGTGTAGCTGTTCCCAACTAATATATCACAAACCTTGGTCAATCAGTTGATCCCAAAGTCTGACCTGGGAGATTGCAACTCTCTTTCCTTTTCCTACTCAATCCTCCCCTTACTGCACAGTCCTAAAACCCTTTGGTAATTTCCACCATGGAGAAGGAAATGGGTATGAGTTTTGCCATTATACCTATATTTAGATCTGTATCTATAGATCTCTATCTACATGCAGAGCTATATCTATGTACATATGTATGACTCATGGTGTTATTAGTACACCAAGGTACTGTCAAATTAAAGCCACCATCCTGGTTTAGCAATGACTTATCATCACCTACTACTTTATCCTTCCAATCCAGTAATGTCAAGACTCAAAAAAACTGAAGATAATTCACTCTTAGAGAAGACTGAGGAATCTATTTGAATATATTTCCAAGTGATCTAGGGATTAGCATTTACAGTTAAGGCAAACTACCTCTTATTTGGATTGTCACAAAACTGTGGGAAGAATAATCTAAATTGGGAGAGAAAGGGATTTGGGAAGAAGTCAGTTCCTCCTCAGGCATCAGTGACCCTGATAAACAGCCTGTTGTATCCATTCAATGTATGCGTATCCTTCTTCCTACTAATTCCAGCTCAGGAAATAAAATCAAGGGACTGGAACTGAGCAAAAACAAGAGGCAAACTTGATTTAAGCTTCGATTTTCCATGTAACACAGCTTGAAAGTAGCAAGCAATATGACTCCTTGAGGGGATAATAAAGAATGTGATGCACTTTTCTGAAGGCATAGAAAAAGGCTCCCCCATTACAGCACATGGCTCTATTTTCTAGAAATCGTGAAGAAAACACCCTTCCCATTCATGCCATTTTTCTGCAACTTATGCAACTTCCTAGAAATGCCTATTAAGGAATACCTTCAGGATGAGGCTGTGATCTGGTCTGAGTGTGAGTTGGGTGTGCATTGTCAGATGCCAGGCAAGGGTGAATTTACAAAACATGAAATACTCTTCTCTCTAAGGAAGTTAAATCGAGTTGGAGCTGCATCTGTACACATAAGTTCAGAGACCAAAAGAGATGCTGCCAAATCCAACACAGGCGCATCATACAAGGACTATATATCATAAACATAAGGTGGTCAGAAAAAAAGAAAGGCAACAGGAAAGACATCACGGGCCAAGCCAGTTCCGAGCAGTCTCAGAAGAACAGATGGTGTTCTGCTGGTAGTACTCCTGGCACTCTTTGGGGCTTCCAAACCTGGCATTCTAGAGTTGGGTGACACAGAGCTAGGTTCAGACTTCCAGATCCTATTGTCTTTCCCAGAGCCTTTTCAGATCTGTCTCTGTCCCCACAAAATTTCTACCTACACAAAAATCCTCAGCATGAGTGGAGAATGTATACAACGATTAAAAGAATATCTGGGGCAGTGAAGAGGGAGGGTAATAATTTGAAAGGATGTTTTTAAGACCTCCAAAATATCTTTTTGACTCAAAAATTCCACTTGGAAAAATTAATGTTGGGGAAAAATAAGGCTGTGCATAAAGATTTAGCACTCTATTCGTATATCTATATATAGATATATTATTATAATTGATAGATACATAGTTTATATAATGTATTTGTGTGTATGTGTATGTATACATATATAAAAGTTTTATATATTTATAAAAGTTTTATATATATTTATATACATAAAAGTTTGAAGCAACCTAAAAAACCAAGAATGAGAATCAGGTGAAGAAAGTTATACTACCTTGACATAGTTGAGGTACTATTTAGCTATTAAAACTGATACAAAGATGGGCATCTGACACAGTGGTTTCGTCACTGCATGGGATTCCTGCCTCCCCTTTCAGAGGACCTGGTTCAAATCCCACTTACTCTGCTTCCAATGCAATCTTCACTAATATGCACTTAGGGAGGCAGCAGATGATGCCTCAAGAACATGTACCTGGGTCCCTGCCACTTACATAGGAGACATGGATTGAGTTTCTAGGCCCCTGGCTTCAGCCTGGCCCAACTATATCTGTTTTGGGCATTTAGGCATTTGGGGAGTGAATCAGTTGATGAAAAATTCTCTCTCTCTCTCTCTCTCTCTTTCTCAAATAAGTAAACTTCTAAAATGAAACATAAATGTCCATTGGCATGAAAAGATACTCATAGTATATTAGTCATGCTACAAAATATTATGTTTAATATTCTAATTTTGAAATAAAAAAGTGTAAAAATGCAAACAAGCACACCACACTATTTTGTGTCCTTGTGTGTGTATTTGTAATTACAGGTATGATAAAACAACAAAGTTGTTATCTCTGGATGATGGGACTGAGGTGTATTTTATTGTATTTACAATTTTATGCATTTTATAGTTTTCTATGATTCAGGTATTTTATTAGATACTTTAAAAACTGTTTTTAAAAAATAAAACTAATAGACAAAACAAACCTAAGAGCCACATAGTGTTGGGACCACGCTATGGCTGGTGGGACTACGGGTTGATGTATGACTATAATTCAACCCCAGGCAAAAGTCAGCAGTGAAAAAGAAAGCATTCTGATTATCAGTAAGTCAGCTTGATCATTTTATCCATAGCACACCAGAAATGGCCTGGGAAAGAAAGGTCATGCCGCCTGAGCTCAGCAGACTCAGTTGTCTTCAAGTCATTGCACATGAATCAGATAAAGATGAGAATGGGGTAGATACGCAGCAGAGCCAGCCATGCATGAAGGCAGCAAAGGAAGGCTTGTGTTTGTCTGACTTTAAGAAAGCTCGAATTGTATGACTTACTCTCTATGGGAACAAACAGGGCCTGGCAATTCACAGAGGATAATGACAAAGCCCTCTGAAACCCAGTCAGAGCCTTCTCAGGAGATGCAGCACTGTTACTACACAACTTAATAACAGCCTTTAAGTGATGACAGAAAGCACATTGAAACCACATTATCCACTGAATAGGGAAAAATAAATAAAGCAGACTTTATTAACTGGTAGAGAGAATGATTACAGGGTAAATAAAATCAACTCAGGGAAATGGA